TACTCTCGAGCGTAAAGCTGCTGAGGGGCTGCAGCGGTAATGGTGTTGTCCTCGGACAGGCTCCTGGCTGCCGTGCTGCTGCGGGCCCTCCTTTCGTTCCTCCCGACGCACAGAAACAAGCCCGGCTCCTCACAGGTGCAGTCCGGTAAATCCAGTATGAGATCTGAGGTACCAGCGAAACCCGCCCTTCTGCTCCCCACCCCTCCTCCTGATGAACACAGGGGGCGGGACGTGATACTGGAAGAAGAAAACACAACATGACCTGTCTATTACTCTCTCTCTCTCTCTCTCTCTCTCCGTGTGTGTGTGCGTGCGTGTGTGTGTGTGTGTGCTGCTCCATACTCCAGTGGACAGATTCATATTACTCCTCCTTTGCTTTTGCTGGCACAAAGACAGAAAGGATAATAATAAAAGTAATGTCAAATCACTTTTACTTATATCATACCGATAGCCTGGTGAATATAAAATGTTATATTTCAGAGAAAAACTCAACTAGTGCAAACAATGCACTTTTAAGCAGTGTGGAAACACCAAGACAGAAATAAAGAGGGTATTAGACAACCAGCTGTAACACAGTTATGTTGCAACCATATTATGTTAGAGCACAATAGTACAGTGCTGTAACAAAGCATTTGCACCCTTTATAAATATGCATAGTTTTATGCATATTGGGTACATGTTTCAGATCACCAAACACATTTTACTATCAGACAAAGATGAGAACATTCAAAATGCAATGTTTAAATTATGATTTTATGATTTTCAATCAAAGAAGGCTATCCAGACCTACCTGACCCTATGCAAAACAGTAATTCCCCCATAAACCTGAGTGTGCTGCACTTGGCAGCTGAACTGAAATCAAGTGTTTGCGGTAACTGGCAGTGAGTCTTTCACATAGCTGTGGAGGAGTTTTGGCCTCTTTTTTGTTGAATTGTTTTAATTCAACCACGTTGGATGGTTTTCTAGCATGAGGTCATGTCAAAAGCATCTCAGTCTGATTTAATTCATTTGATCATTGTTTTTTTGAGCCATTCAGAGGTGGACCTACTATATGCATGTGGATCATTGTCCTGCTGCATAACCCAAATGTGCTTGTGCTTCAGTTCATGAACTGGTGGATGAACATTCTCCTTCAGGATTTGCTGGTAGAGAGGAGAATTCATTCTTCATCAATTACATCAAGTCATCCAGGCCCTGAAGCAGCAGAGCAGCCCCAGACCATCACACTACCACACCACCATGTTTATCTGTTAGTATGATGTTCTTTTCATGAAAAGCTATGTTAGTTTTATATCAGATTTAACAGGACTCAAACTTTCCAAAAAGTCCAGCTTGTGTCTCCATTGTTCAAGTTTTCTCCATTTGTAGATAATAACTGTAACCATAGTTACCCACGCCTTTTCACAGTTGATTTGTGATTCAACAAGGATTCAATCCCATTTTAATTATATAGAAGCAAATCACAACAGCAGTTGCCTCATTGCCCTTTATACTGTAAGGTAAAGACCCTGCAATAATACAGAGAAAACAAAGAAATCCCAACAAGCAGATAACCCCCTATGAGCAAGCACTTTGGCAACAGTGGGAAGGAAAAGCTCTCTTTTAACAGATAGGGCTACCTGTGAAGACAGGATAAAGAATTATAGTGAGTGAAGAAGACTGTAACTACAATATATGTAAATCACCAAAACTAGCTCAATTAAGGCTGAAGCCATTAGTGAGATCTTGTACACTGTGTTTGGTAACCTAGCGGAGAAATAAAGTTCTGCTTTTGACATCACTGCATCTCTCCAGATTGCCAAGTAGGACCAGATGAGAATGCTATTTGACAACAAAGGAGCCAGGCTACAGTAAGGACACTTCGCCGATGTCTGCCTAGTGTGAATTGAAGCAACGGGTGACCTGGTGGGATTCTGGTGAGTATTAATATAAAGCTTTGTCTAATCAGTGAAGTCTTAAACAAAATGCAATGGAAAAATTCATTACATGAATCAGCATAGCAATTATTCATCTGCTTTGGTGGGAGTAACTAATTAATAATATATATATATTAATAACCATTAACAATAACCAATGATGAGATTCAGAGCCGTATATAAACACACAGTGCATCATGGGAAGCCTCCAGCCAGTTAGGCCAGTGTGTTTGTATCATGGCAGGGCCCCTGCTTATATAAGAGACTGTTTGCCCTTTAGCCTTTAAATTTGGTTTGGTGTCTTGCTCATGGACACTTTGGCATGTGCATTTAGTGGACAACCCACAACTCAGAAATGCTCAGAAGGACAGACAGATGGATAGAGAGATGGACAGACATCTCTAATCCTCTCTTGTTTTCTGTGCATCACCAACTTGCCACTTCTTTAGCGTTATGGTTTGCTTTAATGTTAGCCTATGAGTTAGGGTTATTCAAATAAGGGTCATGGTTGGTCATGTTGATCAGAAGGATTGTTGAAGCAGGGATATCATGGTTATGTAGTTCATATAAATATATATGCCCCACAGGAGATAGCATGAGTATTAAAAACTAAAACTGTGAACACCAAAAGATCATGATTTTTGTCCCAGGTTTGAGTCAGACAAAAAATATAAGTAGAAGTTGCTATTATAGAGTGGTTGGTAATAGTGGGGTAACACATTGGAAACAAGAAAGTATCAAGAAGGTTCATGCTGTAGTCTATGTACAAAAGTTTGAAAAGC